GGAGGCAAAACAGGAAGTAAAAGGTGAATATATATTTCCTGGGTTGAGACAATCACATTAGGGTGACCAGGTTCAAGAGAACTTAATGCTGATGCACTTTTACTAATTCTGCTGACATTCCTCTTTTAGGCAATTATTAAAGCAATAGAAGCTCTACCCTCTTGTGCCAGGCAATTTAGAGCCACTGTTTTGTTTTCACATGATACTACTACAGGTAATCCTCAATTTATAACAGATCATTTAGAGGAGTGGTGCGGTGGCCTAGAGCTCTTGCCTCATAATCAGGAGGCTGTGAGTTCGATCCTAGGTAGAGGCAGATCTCTCTCTGGGCACAGTGAGAATATATCTTCTGAACAAAACTCCGCGTTGGTGACAGGAGAAGGGCATCTGGCCATTAAACACTCTGCTAGCTCCATTCAGTTGTCCAGACTATACCCTTCAAGGGATTATGTGGTTGTTAAAGAGATGATGATAATATATCATTTCGAGATCATTCAAAGTTACAACGGCACCAAAAAAGTGACTTATGACCATTTTTGACACAACCATTGCAGCCTCCCTATGGTCATGTGATCAAAATTCAGCCGTTTGACAACTGACTCATATTTATAACGATTGCAGCGTCCCAGGGTTATCTCTGCAACCTTCTGGTAAGCAAAGTCAACAAAAAACCAGATTCACATGTTACCAAGTTAACAACTGCAGTGATTCAGTTAACAACTGTCGCAAGAAAGGTCAAAAAATGGAGCAAAAACTCACTTAACAAATGTCTTGCTTAGCAGCAGAAATGTTGATCTCAATTCTGGTTGTCAGTCAAGGACTACCTGTATTCCTCACACTAGAACCCATTGGGACATGGCTGCTTCTTTCTAATAGATCCCATTGAGAAGATTAACCTTCTCAAGACCATCAATTAATATTTCTTTTTCAATAATATAGCCCCCACGCTTAGTGACCCCAGAGTGTTCCAATGTACTATATTGTGGTTTTCCAACAGATCGAGCATCCAGAAATCTTGCAGAGATGGTTTTCAAAAGAACTGATGCCCGTGCAAAATGATGATAAATTGCTAGCTAAAAATTGTGCTGACCTGATTTGAATCATCATAATAACGCATATTTCTTGGCTTCACCATGGAAGTTCACAAACTATTTTGCTCCTCCCAATAGTGTCAGGAATCCTCTTTCAGACTTTTAGCCCCCTCTGGTGGTTAAATGCTCTTTTACGCCATGTGTCACACTCATACCAAAGGAAGCCTCTTTACCTTCTTTAAACCATTTCTTGTTTTTTCTTCCAGCAGCTGCAGGTGGTTCCTTTATTCGGCGATATGCAGATAGAGCTGGCCAGATACATTAAGACCAGTGCTCACTATGAGGAGAACAAATCCAAGTGAGTGCCTGCCATAATGTCTCTTGGCTTTGGTGTGTCTTAGTCTACTCTTCCACTTGTGTGTAAGCTCAACTGAGTGATTGCCTGTGAGCCTGTGTCCGAGTGATTAAATGACTGATAAGAATGAGTGCTTTGCTAAGGTTTTATGTCACAATATGATTTCTTATTTTCTCTTTACTGTATCTTGAAAGACACTGATTTTTCCAATTCTCTACAGTTAAATGTAGCTTACCTCCCTGAAATAAATGCATTCTTCATTGGTTCCCTAGCCAGATCTATCAGTAAGCTTTAAAAATGAAATGGAAAGCGGGGGCAAGGGTCCTTGGTGCTCTCTGAGTTTGCTTGTTTTCTTGCAGACATTTCATTACTCAAACTAGGTAACATCATCAGCCAACAGCCAACAGATCAGCCAAAGAATCTCTAAGACCACCAACATTGATAGGCAAGCCACTAGATTATAAACTGTACCTCCTTACTAGTCTGATGATGTTGCTTAGTTTGGTTAATGAAACATCTGCCAGAAAAGAAGCAAGCTCAGAGAGCACCAAAGTCCCCTCATGTCAACCCTGGGCTTCAAATATTCTCCTTTATTAGTGAAATGGAAAGATAACTCATGCAGACAGCACAGTCTTTTAAATGTTGATTCCTCAAGTGACTGCCACTTTTGAAATTAAATGTTCTTCAACCTTAATCTGCCTTCTCTGGTATTTTCTGGTTCTTAGACATCCCAACATCTCAGGCTGTGATCTTGAACTGATTGAGTGCCTAAAATCCCCCCCCCACACACACACACCTTTTTAAAAATTTATTAAGGAATCAATTCAAGAATAACTCTAGAATTGCTCTGAAGATGCAATTAAATCAGATTATTATTTTACCCATCTGCTTGGCTGCACAGAGATATTACCTTCTGGTGACAAATCCAGGGATGCAACTATTGAAGATTTATACCAAGTATAAGACTTATATTTTTGCCTTATACCAACACTTTTCAACCTCAGTGAACTCTGGCTACCATTCAACATTCGTGCATTCCTAGAGTTTTCCCCTAAGTCAGACAGATTTTAAAATCCCTTACTTCTTCCTTGCTATTTCCATCTTAATTTCAGTTTCAAATCTTATCCAGTCCTTTTGGGTAGTGAGGAATGCCCTGATATTAAAGATCTTTTTAATCCAAGCAAGGATGTAGATTACCTTCCTCAAACACTCTGAATGTTCACCAGTCAGGCTGGCTAAATGTCTCTAACTAGCAAATTGTTCATAAATTATAGCCATAAAGATGTGTCTTTGGCGATACAGGGAAGTGATTCCTAGAACTGAGTGCAGATCAATAATTTGCACTGACAATTTATATGTATATGGTGGGCAATATCTGAATACCTGTGTACTGACTGAGAGGTATTGATGAAGATGGAAAGGAATGGTTGGATTTGTGCAAGTATATACATATGAAGTACACTTACGTGGCAGAAAAATGGATATGGGTGTTAATGTGTAGGAGTAATGATATACATTGGGAATATGATTGCAAATATTAAATTCTGTGTCTGTACTTGTATGTTGACTGTTATTTGTTTGCATGCTTGGCAGTTGCGAATGTAGGTATGAATGCTCATCCTGTGAATGTGAATGTGACCGAGTGTGCCTGCTCTGGGTAATTTTTATCCACATTTTTCAATTGGATAGAAAATCCTCCAGAGCATGAACACAGCACTCTATCTGTCCAGAAGAATTCTCAGATTGGGTTTTAGACAGGATAACCAAAGAAATGTAGCATAAACTCGAGTTACTTCAAACTGGAATTGTTTTCAGTGGAATTGTTCATAGTTCATGTTCATTGTTCCTGTCAACCTTGGGGAGCCTTTTCAGTGGTAGCTTAGAGAGGATGGGTTTGCTTGTTTATTTATTACATTTTGATGCTGCCCATCTCCTCTCTAAGGATCCTGGTCAATGAAATCACAATTAAGGGTTGAACTATGACCACCTATCTTGATATGGAATTCTGGGAGGCAATGCTGTCCTGTTGTATTTCAGGCAGCCTCTCCTGTAACTGTTTCTAGGCATGAAGGTTAAGTGTTGCAGTTCAATTTATTGTAAGATGTAAATCCAAGGTGGCTCAACCATACGAAGATCACAAAATTTAATGTGATGCATACCTCTCAGTTGGCAATTTCACTTTCCATTTCACTATACAACTTGATGATTCTATTTTGGGATAACTACCAAGATTCAAACCAAATAAACAGTTTCGGTTTCTCAGATTTAGATCAGAATGCCAGCAGTCACAGAGTTATTGCTAATAAGAGACAATCACTAATTACTGCAAAAAAATCAGATTATAATTGGACTTCATCAATGGAATTCATGGTGTTCATTGGGTGCATATTTATTTCATTTTATGGTATCTGATTAATGGTTTCCATACTAGCATAAATGTGTATGTTGTCTCTCACTTATCATTATAACCTTTATTTCTATTGCCAAAATAAGTTGGATTTTAAACTCAGCCCAGTCCAATGAAGTATTTAACAATGTGTGTTTAAATCCCATTTCTAATCTACTCCATCCCAATAATCAAACTATGAACTATTTCTTCCACTCATCTTTACTTACTAACAATTATTTTCTTATTCAGTTTCTAAGCAGAGCAGTATCTCCTCCTGTGCCTCTTTCTCCTTCCTTGGAGAAGAGATTATGAACACTATCTTGGCTGCACAACAATTGTGGGGGTTTTATGTTCCTGCACATTCATACCTTTCTTTTCCTTTTTGTCTCCCTAATTCATTCCCATCCTTGTGGTGAGATATAATTAACTGTGTTTTTTTTCTTGTATGGCCTTTTAATTTTGTGTAATGGAATAGATTATATATGGCAGGTTGGGCTAGTACAGCAAAATATCTGATCACCACTGATAACCTGTTGATGATTTCTTTGGGGAACATACACTGGAAGGGTAAGAGCAAAGTATTGGATTTCTGGAAATATAATAGGACCTAATAATCACTGTCAATATAATTAAGAGAACTGCATCTACTTCAATATTACCAAGGCTATCTAGTCCCAATGAGATTTTAAAATATCCATTCTTTCAAAATAAGCAGCAAATTTTAAATAGGAGAGTTGGCACTTCAGATAGCCTGCATAAATACTCCTTTGTGACATTTAAGTAGAAGTCAGGTTTATTTGCTACATTTAGGAATAAATCATAGTCATGTAAAAGAAGAAGAATGAATGGCTAAGTTCAAACTTTATGGAAAATCATGTTTAAGATGGGTCATTATTGATGTCATCTTAAATGGAGAAATGGTGAATCTATAACTAAGATTTAGAAATTCTTAATTTGAGAACTTTATGAAGCATTTGCTACTTATTATGATTCTGTGTGCTATCTGAATAGATGAATCATAGCTATAGACCTTGCTCTGGCAGCCAGGAAAAGGAAACGATTCTAAACTATGGTTTGCTATTATTATTAGGGTAGCTAGTTGTATCAAATCATTTTTGTCCCTTATTTGTTTCCTAATTCAATTTTTAACTTTTTTTTGCTGATTTTGTTCTATAGTGGCCTAGACCTAGAACAGGGGTATCAAACTCGCTTTGTCATGGCGGTGTCACATGTCGTATCATGACTTTTTTTCCCTTTGCTAAACCAGGCATGGGCGTGGCCAGTGTGTGACACATCTGGCCGACGGGCCGCGAGTTTGACAGCCTTGACCTAGAATGTTATAAATGTATGTTAAATAGACCCCAATTTTTGATTCTACATATCTTTTGTTCACAGTATATATACTTTCTTAAAGACCAGTACTCAAATTCTGTCATACACTTATTGAGTCAATAATTCTGTTTGTCGTCTATGGATTTGCTACCGTAGTTTTACCACAAACATAAAATAAGTAAAATAAACATATCAAGTGTAGGATAAATTATGAAATTAAAAAAACATATCTACTCCAACAACTATAGTTTTCAGTTGTCAGTTACTGGGTGATGCACCATATCAAAAGACATTGGACCAAGTGAGATATTAGTGGACCAGTGGACCAAAGTTATCTTGAGTAATAACCCTAGAGTCAGAAATGAGTGTTAACTTAAAGACATTGGTTTTCTGCCCAGATGGACATGCACTCAGAGCAGCATCAGTCCACAGTATAACATCTGTGAGCAGATGGTACAGATCCGAGATGATCATATCCGGTTTATCTCTGAACTTGCTCGCTACAGCAACAGTGAGGTAAGCTTCCACGGAGGCATGTGTTATACAATCCATGTGTGAAAAAATAAATGTCGAGTGTGTTCTATGGGCAATTCATGATTACTCTGTTTCTGTGTTTGATTATGGTGCTGGAATGCAAAGAGCTTGCCTCTTGGAGATTCAGGTGACGAATGTCCATTTCTGTCTATTCCAACCAATAGCAGCTCTCCAGATATTCAGAGTAGAAAGGTTTTCCTCATTCAAAACTATGTAACTCTCTCTGTTCTTCTGTTTCAGAGATACAGTCTGCAGTCCAATTTTTATTTACTGTTTTGCATAGAAAAGTATATAATGCAATAGCCCAGGGCCGTGTGCAGACCTGGGATGCCCTGTATGCTGCCTGCAAATGTTTTCAAAGGTTGCCTTTAAATTGTAAATTTTAAAATGTAGATGGTAGGGAAAAATATTAAAAAATAATCTTTGTAATTCTGTTTAATTGATTTTTTTTTCAATTAAACTTAAATATTGGTTAAACCAAATCAATTTTCATCTTTGTCCAAATCCCATCTACTTATTTGAATTGTGGATCCATTATACAACTGAGAATAAATATGAACCTCCTGAAAACAATTAAAAATCCCTAGGTATTCCTTGGCCTCCCAAATTCCAAATTGCTTTTAGTGCTTTCAGATTATGTACTGTTGCACATTGTTTAAACCGACCACCTGTGTAGCTTGGATATCTACAGCCTTTCCCATTTCAAACTTTAAAAATAATTCACAATTAGTCAGTGGGAAGATGATTACCTGCACAATAGCGGTCATTATACAACACAGTAAATTTGCATATATGAGCCCAAAGGAAAAGTTATCCTTAAATTTCTCTTTTATAGGAACTAGATATTTACCGTTAGTCAAAGTGTCTCCAAAAGAATTCAGTGAAAATTGCAATAATTAAGAAATTCAGGTGTTGGTACTTCTGCATTTTTCTCTGAGGTTCTTCCTAGTTTTATTTGAACGTGTAGGAAACTGGATTAGTTTTTATAATTGAGTGTTATCTTTGAACTATATTGTTTGGGATACATAGGTGAAGGACTAGAATATGAAACTGATTAGAGGAATCATGTCATTTTGATGTTAGCTATTTGTATATTTTATCTCGGCAACTTTCCAGCAATTCTGGGTTTGTAAACCATCCAGAGTCACTGATTGAGATGGACGGTTATAAAAATTGAGTAAATAAATCAATAAATTAATTTCTCAGCTCTTCCCCTCATTCCCTGGCCATAATTAACTCTTGTTGAAGAATGTTTGCAATGTCTTGCTCAGTTAATGAAAACAGCAACATGAAGCAACTAAAGGAAAAGATTCCTGAGTGTGACAATTGTCTACTCCTTTTCCAGGTTGTAACTGGTTCAGGATTGGACAGTCAAAAGTCAGATGAAGAATATAGGGAGCTTTTTGACCTGGCTTTACGGGGACTTCAACTTTTATCAAAGTGGAGTGCACATGTGATGGAAGTGGCAAGTATTTTTTTTTCTGATATATTTAAATATTGATTTTAAGGTAAAGCTGCCTTCAGCATAAGCCAGTCCCTTGAACATGATTCAATTTACTTTCCTTAAAAAGTTTGCAATAATCAAAGTGTTATTTAAAGATGTGTGTGCCTATGTACGGTTTAAAAACCTAATTTAAAGAAAACAGAATCTACATAATCAGTATGTTGGGTTTTGCCAATTGGATTTTCTGTGTTTTTCCCCCCTTGAAGTATTCTTGGAAGCTGGTCCATCCCACAGATAAGTTCTGTAACAAAGATTGTCCAGGCACTGCTGAAGAGTATGAGAGAGCTACAAGATACAATTATACCAGTGAGGAAAAGTTTGCTTTTGTAGAGGTAGGTGGCTATATCCCTCATTTTTGCCCAGGGGAGATAGTTTCCTTGAATGGATGATTGAAGCAATCTTAAAGAGTTTACAGAGTTTATAGATTAACAGAGTTGGAAGGGGCCTTGTAGGTCATCTAGTCCAACCCCCCCGCCCAAGCAGACTATACACGATTTTTGACAGATGGCAGTCCAGTCTCTTCTTGAAAGCTTCCAGTGATGAAGCTCCCACAACTTCTGAAGGCAAGCTGTTCCATTGGTTGATTGTTCTCACTGTCAGAAAGTTTCTGCTTATTTCTAGATTGAATCTGTCCTTGTTCAGTTTCCATCCATTATTCCTTGTCTGACCTTCAGGTGCTTTGGGAAATAGGTTGACCCCCTACTCTCTGTGGCAGCCCCTCAAATATTGGAAGACTGCTATCATGTCTCCTTTGGTCCTTCTCTTCATTAGACTAGCCATGTCCAGTTCCTGTAACCGTTCTTCATGTGTTTTAGTTTCCAGTCCCCTAATCATCCTGGTTGCTCTTCTCTGCACTCTTTCTTGTGTTGAAATGGAATATTGGAGGATCCAAACATTGCTGTCTTCAAATTAAAATTGTCCTGTTTTCCCCACTTGTTCTTGTATTCTGGTACGCAAACAAAAGTTCACTCAAATCCAGGGCTTCCAGGATAGCACTAGAAGAGTGCCTTTGGGATGCTGTCCTGAGATTGCATGTGAATGGGCCTGGTGTAATTAAAAGAGTCACAGTGACTATTTTTATTCTACGTAGGTTATTGCTATGATCAAGGGCCTGCAAGTGCTCATGGGTCGCATGGAGAGTGTCTTCAACCAGGCTATCAGGAACACAATCTATGCTGCTCTACAGGACTTTGCTCAGGTAACCCTGAGAGAGCCCCTGAGGCAAGCAGTCAGGAAGAAGAAAAATGTCCTCATCAGGTAACTTAATCGGATTCAGTGTCACTTCCTAAAAGTTTTGTAAATACTTAGACTTTATTTTTAATATTGTTTTCTGCACGCCTATACCCAGAATTAAATTAGCATGCATATTTCTAAGTGCAGCATTAATTCCATGCATGGCTCACAGGAAATGCCAGGCTGGATCTATAATATTGCCAAATAAAAAATAGAAAGGTCGGAAAGTACTTAGGGTGCAAGTGTAGAAAACTGGAACAAAAATAAACAATGCCAGGTTATATGGAACAATAGTGTCAAGCAAGCCATTTTCAAATAGTCACTGTCCCCAGGACTTTGCATTAAGAAAATCAGCATTCCACACAGTATCCACATATGCTGAATATTTGGCCAGTAATTGTTTCCATAGAGAAGATCTTGACAGGACATAGATTATAGTAATGTCTCTTATAACCATGAAGCTTTGGGGTTGTAGTTTTTACTTTTCTCTAGCCTATATCGAATGTCATTTAATAGACTATCAGAACATTTTGTTTCTCCTATTCTCCCCGCTGCCACC